CGTGTGGGATATCCAGGGTGATCCAGTGTATGTGAACAGTGAGATGTTTGGGCGCTGAAGTCGCCATAGCCAATTGAGAGTGAACTCGTATCTGAAAGCCATATCTCTGAGTTTTGAGTGGGCGCATGTCGCCAGTATGCTGCGTTGCTGTTTACATGCATGAAAAGTGTGTTTGAGAACGAGTCTGATTGCACAAACACCTATATGAAACTATGATGGTAACCCGCCCAGGCTTCCTCGTAATATATAAACGGTTGGAAAATAGTAAAATAGTAAAATACATCTGTCACGCATTCCGCCATACCCGCCCGAGCAGGATGTTACGGAAAGACAATACGCATGAGAAATTCGCCTATACACACCACTTCCATTCAAGGTTTACGAACAGCTTCATTGAGAACGCAAATGCTTAGGTGACTTCAAAAATGCCTTGGTAAGTTCTTCACCACTCGAAGGCTGTTGAATAGTGTGACTTGATATAAGGGCACGTCTACCTGTCTGGAAAAGCATTGTGCCGATCAAGGCCACCGATCAAGGCCACCCTTCTGTGGGTTGCGGGTCGGAATCCCAGCTGAGGCATTTTAGCGGGATGAGGGGCCATTTATTTGAAGACATTACATCAAAAAGTTGATCGAACCCAACCTCAAATTTATCGGGCACTGGTCTCCCCTGTCACGGGAAGAAAAAAAAAAGACGCTTAAGAGCACTACTCACAAAGTCCGTTCTCACGAAGTTGTAAGGCATCACTTCAACCACCACATTCCATCTGGGCATATTTTGACAAACCAAAAGTGGCATTTTCCCGGGCCTATAAGATCTACAGTGCCACCCAAAGGAAAAGTGATTGTGGTACCGAGCCTGGGCACTGTAGATTTTGGCATGTACCTCGAAAACAAGAAACATGAACGGTGCAGGGGCCGTCAGAGTGGTGTATTGATGCTACACTCCATTTGACACAACCCTGCTGCCAGGGCCTCCGAGAGGTCGAGGAGCAACAAAAGACAGAAAGGCAGGCAGCACCAAGGTTTGGCCTTGGCTGCAAGTTACACTCCGGCGGAGATATCAGCACCCAAGAGAGCTCAGAAGTGTAGGGGCAGGCAAAATCGCCCATCAGGAAAAAAGAGCCTCGGAGGTACTGGCGGTTCAAATAGCCAAACACCTTCCTTTCGAACATCGAACACGGTGCCCGGCATACTCACATACATCATCGACCAAGAAGAAAGACCCACCAAGCACCAGTCTTGCAGAGAATAGTGTAGGCGACTCATGCTAATATAAAGCAAGAAGTTTCCACCTCATTTATGCCAGTAGAAAACACGCTTTTGGTTAGTGGCAGTGCTAATGGCGGAGGCGGGGGTTGGAGGGGTTCGACAGTGAGCAGAGTTCTCTCTCCTGATGAATACATCTATTTTCTGCACACAAGACTTCCGTCTTCACCCGAACAAAACGCCCGGTCCTTATCACTGCATCTGGTCTGAAAGTTGCCTCAAATACAGCTACAATGACCATGCGTTCTATTTGCGTGAAGACGGTTGGTAGCAGGATTACGATAATTACGAGAAGGCACACATATAAGAGGGATATGTCTTGCCCTCTGCTCGTAAACTTCGAGCATTCCATTCCTGACAGCTCGCTTCATTTACTCTTTCCAGCCACATTTCTTAGTAGAGGCTCGAGCAGAAAGGTCTTGCCAGAGTGGTTGGAGACACTCAATAAGACCCGCCAGAGTCCTAACTGGAAATATTCTGCGACTTCCGGATTGGAGTCGACCATCATCTCCAGGTCCGAAGAGGAGCGCTATACGGCATCTTCTCCAGACACCCGAGAACTTCCTAGTCTGATTGACCTCAGCCAAACCTCATTTTCATTCCACTTGGCGCTTGTATGATTGCGCTAATCGTCAAGTACGTATACATTGAACACTCGTGTCATCTTCCAACGAGGCACCGCTTAGATGATTGCGCTAATCGTCCAAGTACGTATTAACGTTAAACACGCTTCTGTCATCTTGCCTTGAGATAACAAGGTTAGCAACATTCAACCGAGGCCAGCGCAGGAACAACGCATCTGGACATGGGAAGGCAGGAACACCAAGAACTTACCACACATGATTCCAAGGCCAAGGCAGAACATCAACGTCTTGCTGAAGTAGAAGCTGGTCTGGAAAAACCCTGACATGTTTGTCCTCATGAAGTAGTAGTAGATCGAGTACAAAAAGACGTATCCCGCTGTTGAAGCTGCAGAAAAGAAGGATGTCCACTGCCAATGGTAGTTCTCCGCATTCAGCAGGAAATATGTCCCGACAATCGTTACGCAGATCGTCACTATGATCAGGATCAAGAAGACCAGCAACATGAAGCCATATACATAATACACCTGAAGACACAGTCGAGACGTTATCCGCAAAACACACAGCAACCTCGTATCAACACCTGTCATTCACCAAGAACACTCAACTATCCCTCATCACCACCATCATCATCATCATAATCAAATGCAGAAGTGAAACACCGAACAAGTGCTCTCAGTTGGCCAGAAAGCGCCGGGCTGAAATCCTGTGGATTTCAAGGTTTAGCTATTCCTTCCTCCTCCCCTGCACCCTGCACCCTGCGGATTTCAAGATGTGATTCATTTAATGCTATTTCATACCGCACGACCTGGTGTGCTGATGCCCTTAGCTATATCCCCATGGAAGACCTGGTGTGCTGATGCCCTTAGCTATATCCGAAAAGCCACAACGTCTCTGGCAACACAGCAAGGCTTACGACCGCTGCATTCACCGCACGACTTCTCCATTTTTGGTGCTGAGTGAACAGGTGCATGTTTCGTCGCTTGCTGCCCATTCCTTTGGCCACTTTATCCCCTTGCAACCCCTTGTTTTCACCCTGTTATCAATCGGAAATTCCTTCTTTTGACCACCTGCCAGCCCTTGAGGTGGTGAGTTAGTGTTCACAACAACATAAGCACTACCACAGTAGTGTTTGTATACTGACCAACAAAGCATCAGAGGACACTTCAGTGAAACTGTGCCAATCAGGTTGAAGTTTTGACCCCCTATCCCTTTTGATGATCCCAAAAGTCCTTTTAACATATGATTTTACCTTAAACCACTAGTACCTTTGGCGTCCAGTTTCGACAAGTACTTGCCAGCTCCCGAACTTTCAGGAGGCCGAGCCCGACGATAATCGATCTGATCGGCGGCCGTCGTTCCGTTTTGGCCTCCTGAACGTTTGGAGGCCGAGTATTTTCGAACCGACAAAGGTACTCGTGCTTTAACATAAAAACATAAACTTTGAGGTTCGATGGTTAAATACATCACAATCCAATCATCAGATGTGATCATGAAAAGCATACTACAAGTGGAGAGTAGAGTTAACACCACAGATCCAGTGGCCAACACAACAATTAGAAGTTAGAACGTCGTGAGACAGTTCGGTTCCTGGCATTCCACCAGTTGAGCTGGCAATTTTCAGCCCCTCGCGCCTAATTCGACGCCTAGGAGTAATGGCTTTTTTAGTACTAGCTGAACGTGAAGTAATGGCTTCTAGGAATCGTAGAAAACACCCAAATGTGGCAGGATTTTTTGGGTTATTACAACCTAAAGAGTCTATTCTACCAAGTAGTGCTAATTTATTCATCTTTATAATGGCTCCACTGCTGCTGCAGTCATTACACTCACTTCCAATAAGAGGGGGACCTTGAAACACTGCCTGTCCATTCCGTCGTTTGCAGATGAAAGTGGTAAACTCGTTGCCGTGTCTGTCAGACTACCATCTTCACCTAAAAATAACCCCCGGGCGTTATATACAACTTATATACCCTAAAAAATTCAGATTTATCATTTTTGTCTTCACTCACTTTTTTTCCGATTAGAACGCCCCTTTGAATATAACACCCGGGTGGGCCCCTTTTTTTTGAAGGGGCGACGGCCTTGAGATATTATCATCCAACTGACCAACCCCAGGTAATTCAGAATTATTTGAATCTGGTCGTCTGATTGCTCTGGATTCAAGCTCAGGTCTGTATGTCAACAGTTGATGGGTGTACCAGCCGACGTGGGCCCGTTGGTGGAGTCCCATTCCAGGAATTGAATTGAATTGAATATATAGGACTAAAATGAAATCGCACAA